ATAACCTAAAAATTAAAAACTGAAAACGAAATGGTTATCAAACAGGCTTCAACGTAAAAAATGACTTATCAAAATACTCTTAGGTTATGTATGGTTTGATTTTTAGATTTTTTTTTAAAAAAATTAAAAATTAATTTGGTTAAGAAATAAAAAATAATTATCATTTTTATATAATTTTTATCTTTTGAGTGGTTCGAAATATTTTTTTACAAATTAAATTGAAACAATTATACGTATGTATATAACCCTCCCAAAAGTTAAAATGATAATTATTTTTTACCCTTAAATGATGATGATTTTTTATTTTTTATTTTTTATTTCTTATTTCTTAACCAAATTAATATTTAATTAAAAAAAATTCTAAAAATCAAACCATACATAGCCTAAGAATATTTTGATAAGTAATTTTTACGTTGGTAACTTATTTAATTATTTATTAATTTTACGATATTTTTACCATCTGAGGCCTGTTTGGTAACCATTTCGTTTTCAATTTTCAATTTATATTTACAAAAATTTTAAAAACTATCATAAAAACTAGTTTGATATTTTTTTTGGTTTACAAATTGTTGTCTCAGTTTGTAAATTTGAAAAAAAAAAACATAAATTCAAAAAATGAGTTTACGTTGGTTTTTAAATAGAAATTTAAAAATTTACTAATAAATTAATTTTTTTTTAAATAATTTTTTTTTCAACTAATACTAGCCGAGGGAGGTAATTGGTAATGCTACTTTAAACCTTAGGTAGGGGATTGTAATTTCTGAAATGCGAGGAGTGTCAATGTAATTTACCTAGTGAGGGCAAAATTGGTATTTAAAAAAAATTAAATTGTTGAAAAGAGAAACTGCAATGAAACTTTAAACCTCAGGAAGGGAGATGTAATTCCAAAGAAAAATGAGTTGGACCCCCTCAAAGAGACACCCCTTTGACCCCTCTCTTTCTGATTGGCTAGTTTTTCTTTTTTCTTTTTCTTTTTCTCCTTCTCCTTCTCCAATCACCACCCGTCACGTGTGTGTGAGGTGGTGGGGATGGTGATTGGAGGGATCTCAATCACTTCCCAATTTCAAAAGGTGAGGGAACTATAATAAATATATATATATATATATATATATTTGTAATTTACCCTATATTTTTTTTGTGACTAAAAATCATTGTTGACAACGAGGCCTTATTCCTAATCAAACCGACCCACAAAGCCTTGTAACCCCTAAACGTCACGCCGCCGAAGTAGAAGACCAGCGCCACCGCTCGCCGCCGTAGAATAAGACTGGCGCCGCCGCACACTGCTTCCTCATCTCCTCCACTGCGACACCAGGTGCCGTTCTTCACTCTTTTTCTTCTTTTATCTCAGCTTGTGTGTGTATGTAATGTAATCTTCACTTACTGAGACTTTCATTGTTCGAACATCAAAGTGATCGCTGGAAATTCAAGCCATTGTATTCAAGAAACTACATGGTCTTAAATTGAATCGAAACAGATTTACATCTTCAATCCTATTGCAATTTTGTCCTTGGCAATGGCTTATTGATCTGAATTTGATATGGCTAAGAGGGTTTGTGGTATCCAATGAGTTTGATGATGAATGTGCCTCGTTTGCATGCGAATTGAGGTGATAGAAGTGCTTATTTTAAGTGATAATAATGTTTTCAAGCAATGTTCAAAAGCTTTTCATACGGGGCTGTTTAACAAATGGTAAATTATAACTTTAAGCAGAAGATTATATTTATAACATATTTACACTTGGTGTAGTGGTTGGACTATAGATATTTGGACAAACTTCACTTTACCCTTCTATGGTTTAATCCGTGTCCGGTTTGCCCATAAACACGTAACCCTTGTGGTTTATGGGCTAATGTACACCATTAGACATTTTAACAATAAGTGTGAAACACATGCCTGGATATGATAGGGTTATGTGCTCATATACAAATGTAGGAGGCAAACCTCATTTTAAATCCAAAAAAATGATGAAAATGCTTGTGTTTTATACAATGAGGTTACTTATGTATAAAGGTATTTATTCTCTCTTCGCTTAAGTCGTTAATGGTACATATAGTGCACTTTAGCCCACAAACCATAAGAGAGTTATGTGTTTATTTTCAAATGTCAAGAGGGTAAACCGTACTAAAAGAAGGTACATTGAAATTTTCCCTATATTTAAATTGCTGAGTAATATTTGTTTAAATAATCTATAAAGTGGATTTTTGTTGTGAAATTGTCTTTTTGGCCCTTATTAGCCATAGGGGTTTGGAAGTAAAAGAGAAATGAGAGGGGTGAGTTGTTTTCATTAACGCATAATGGTAATATTTAAGAAATATGAGGGTTATTTAAGTAAATTTCTGATTAAATACAAGTTTCCGCATAAGCTACAAGGTTCTATCTATTGTTGTCTGTAAAGTTAACAATTTTGAGTTTGGGCAAAGTTCTACTTATCTAGCCACACATTTAGTCTCATCACAAGACTCGTGTTCTAGTTTTGTCAGTTTTATCAACTTCTTTTCTTTTTGACTGATGCAGATAGTTTAATATGAAATTGATTATATAGAAGGATTTGTTGGTTGTTGTTTGAGTACGGTTATTTGAATCACTAAGTGTATGTTACGTGATTCTTGTTGCTCTTGTTGTGTTATTGTGGCTGCACTTATGATGTTGTTATATAAACTCCAGTAGCATTGGAGCTCAAGCAACCTCAAAATAAGTGGCGAGTTTTCTTCGACTCGACAAGAGGGTGATATCAACCCTACTAGCTATGTCCTATGATTTATGTCTTTGGGAAGGTTGCATCATAGGAGCTGTAGCTGTAGGTATGATATATTGAGAGGCGTATTATATGTGCATCAGATGTAAGTGTAAAGTCAACGTCCTTTTCTCTAAGCTAGGTCAAGGAGGGAGCTGCCACTGCAGGGAGACAGCTACATGATCTTGACGATCCCGAGGTTTTAGCCTCCAATCCACAATCCTCTAATGATCCCAAGCGGGAGTGCCTAGGCCTTGCTCCCAACCTAGGCACCTAAGAGGGTGAGTGCATGGGTGAGCCAAGGGCTCATCCTAAGCGGCTAAGTAAACATAGGTGAGCGAAGAGTCTAACTATGTTGCTATGGAGCTGGGGTGAGTGAGTAGGGAATATGTTTCTTGAGTTATGAAGAGCCATGGAGAGCTCTAGATGAGCCAGCTCCATCAAAGTGAGTTGTGGCCTTGTTTTCATACTTGGTGGTGTACATGCCTCTACTTAGGCTAGGCATACAACCCCAACTCATCATGGTACGTCAGGGGTTTGCCACGTGGATGTGTGATGGTGATGACGTGACGCCTGTAGGGCTCGCCACGTGCCAAGCATAATATAGATACCCACACAGTTGATACCAAGAAAGTTTAGAATCTGAACATTTTCTGTTGTTTTGAAAAGAGATTTGGATTGGTGATCAATGCATAGAGATTTGTTGCAAGTTGCAACATTAATTTGGATGATACATTAGCATTTATAGTAGGGTGTGTAAGCCCTTATATGCTGAAAAAATTTGGCTTCATTAAAAATGACGTCCTAGGGATGGAGGTGTATTGGGCCTTGTGGTGAAAAGATGATTGTATCAACCTTTTACCCAATGTGCATATATACTAAATGTTCAAAATTTATTCAATTATAGTTTGATTGTATTAACAAAAAAATTCTTAATGATCTCAAAATTTCAATATTGATTGTTTGTGGCTGTAATATCAATCTAGATAGCAAATAAAAATATATGAAAATATATTTTATTACCGTGTCCCTATTTTTTTGAAATCGCCGTGTCCTTGTCTGCATCCGTATCCGTGTCCGTGCTTCTTAGGGTATAGGTCAATTAGTGTTTAGAATCTTCACATATGTGTTTTATTTGGATATCAGATGAGTTTTTGTAATTCACTTCACTGTCTTAGTTATTAATTGGAAATTCAATTCCTATTAGCCTTAGGTTAGAATTACATGAAATTTATAAAAGCTATTTAATTGATTCTAATTCAACCGAGATTTTTTTAAGAGAATTTGTGAAACCGTTGTAGTGCCTGGTATTCCATACAGTGGCTTACACAAAAGCCACAGGAGTCCAAGTTTAAATTTTGGATACCCACCTTTCTTGCTGAAATTTGTAATCTAACTGTAATGCACCATTCTTTTTACTCTTCCTTTGGACCCTCAATGATCTGTATGATAGAAAAATCATTTTAAAAATATTACCAAGCTGCTGCTTTTGACATTGTTTCCACCCTACGCAGTACAAAATTCCCAGTTTCCTGCTTTCACCTTTTCATTTATTTTATGTGCCTTCAGAAGTTCAGATACATCTTTTGCAGTTTATTTGGATTTGAGACCTTTCTGTCCTACCACTTGGTGTCTGTTTTATGTTTTCCTGTCTAATGATGCATTCCTTTACTTTTTTTTCATGGAAAAATTGGAAAACAATAATCAGTGTGTTTGGTTTGAGTTTTTTGGATTAAGTTTTTTGAAAATTGAGTTTTTTGGTTTTCGTGTTTTTTTGTTTTTAGTGAATATTTTTAAAATTTTAAATATTTTTTTTACTTTTTTATATGCAACCTACTTAGATATATCTAAAAAGTAAAAAAATTGTGAAAAAATATTTTAAAAAAATTAATAAATACATAAAAATACAAAAAATATACTTAATTCTATTTTTTTTTTTTTTTTTTGTATTTTTGGTATTTAGTGAATTTTTAAAAGGTTTTTTTCACAATATTTTTACTTTTTAGGTATGTCTAAAAAGTAAAAAAATTGCTTAAAATATTAAAAAAATTTAGTAAAAACAAAAAAAAAAAAAAGAGAAAACAAGAAAGTAAAATTTTCTGAAACGTGTTTTTTGAAAAATAAAACCAAGCAAAGTGATAATGTTTTTGTACTACAATTTCTAAATTCATGTTTATTAATCTGTGTGTGCAGGTGATTGCTTTGTTATGGAGAGCTCTGATGATGAGAAAGATGGTGTCTTTGTGAACTATATACCCAAAGAAATTAGTCATACTTTAGCGTCTAATGGTACAAAATTTGTGGATGAAGTTCTCAATGGGCGAAATGAACATTGTTTGGAGAATTTTCGCATGGATAAGCATATATTTTACAAGTTATGCGACATATTACAGGCAAGAGGCCTATTACGTCACACACGAATCGAATCAAGATTGAGGAGCAATTAGCAATATTCATGTTCATAATTGGCCATAATCTACGAACTCGTGCAGTTCAAGAGCTATTCAGATACTCAGGAGAAACCATCAGTCGCCATTTCAACAATGTTCTTAATGCAATTATGGGTATCTCATTAGATTTCTTTCAGGGTCCGGGGCCTGATGTTCCACCAGAAGTCCTAGAAGATCCCAGATTTTATCCTTACTTTAAGGTAATCCAGCATGACCAATAGATGAACTTAAATCATGAGTTTCATTTTGATATGAAAGTTGGCTCAGTTTAAATAATTCTCAAAATTAGGATTGTGTTGGAGCGGTTGATGGTATACACATCCCGGTGATGGTGGGTGTGGATGAGCGAGGACCTTTCCGTAACAAAAATGGTTTCCTTTCACAAATTGTTTTGGCATCGTGCTCATTCGATTTGAAGTTCCATTATGTTCTAGCTGGTTGGGAAGGCTCAGCAGCAGATTTACGAGTTCTAAATTCAGCTCTCACAAGGCGTAACAAACTGCAGGTCCCTGACGTTATTTTTCTATCTTTTTACCAGAAATCAAAATTCACATTGGACAGTAAATTGAAATGACATAATTTTAAGTTTATCTTGCAAACTGTTTGGAGGGCACTTTTCATGGCATGTATTAATTTTTATGTTAGCAATGATATATTGCAGCCATGTTTGTTAGAATATTGTGATTTTTTATTCACTTCATACAATTCAAATACGAATTTCACCAAAACTATTTGATGCATGATGTTGAATCTTAAATTGAGTGAATTATATGATTTAATTGCAATTCAATATGATTCCATGCAATTCATGGTGACTCAGTTCTATTTGTATAATGTATGAAATTGTATCGTTTTTGCAAGATAATAATAAAAAATAAATAAAAAAGAGGGAGAGAGAGAAAAAGAGAGGAACTACATGTATGTATGTACAATTTAGTTATATTAATATTTATTTCATTTTAAACACTATGTGCATATTTTTATATGTGTATATTATGCTAACTAAAGCAAATCTTTTGATTCATGATTCAATTTATGATTTGACAACAATATTTGTTTCAGATTATGTACATATTGTTTGGAGATAAATTGTTTCCATTGTTTTCTTTTGTCGTTTCTCTTTCTTTCTTTCTTTTTTTTTTTTTTTCTCTATTGCTTTTGTGGGGGTTCTTTCTTCTTTGTTAAATTCTTATCTTTATTTCTCTCTCATTCCCTCTTCTAATTTTTTTAGGGTTTGGGGTTTATGTTCTTATCAATGAATCCCTCTTATAATATTTTTTTATGCAAATAAAAATATCCAATTATTATACAGGTAAATACTACCTGGTGGGCACCAAATATGCGAATATCCCAGGCTTTATTGCTCCGTATGATGGTGTTCCCTACGGCCTAATTGAATTTGGCGGTAGCCTACATCCACAGGATGCCAAAGAGCTATTCAATCATCGACACTCATTGCTACGCAGCGCTACCAATTGCACGTTCGGGGCATTGAAGGCACGGTTCCCAATCTTGATGTGCTCTCCTCCTTACCCGTTACTGACGCAAATGAAGTCAGTCGTAGCGGCATGTGCTATACATAATTACATTCGTAAGGAGAAACCAGACGATTGGATTTTCAGAATGTATGAACAAGAAGCTGAGCTTGAAATGGAAGATCCAATGCCACTGTTAGAAATTGAACAACAGTCTATGCTGAATGACGAGAGCCAATTTTTGGATCTTCCTTTTGGAGAAGAAGAACTGGAATGTGTTTCGCAGTTGCGTGATTCTATTGCAGTTGCGATATGGAACGACTATATTCGTGAATAAATTTTAGTTTGTGTGTGAGTGATTTTCTGACCACATTGCCCGCTTAGTAATCAGCTGGAGAGCACTGACAGAATAGACGGCACCTGGCTGACCTGCAATAGAAAGAGAAGATTCCGCCGGGGTTCGTCCACCTGGGGGCACTCCAACGATCAAGTCAGTATATCTCTCAAAGATAAATCAAGTGCTAAACTCACAAGCTTGAGTATTAAAAGCATAAATTGCGTACCTTAGACCCACGGGGTTGCCTCTTTTTTATAGTTTACTTAATCCTAGTCTCACTAGAAGCCTGACTTCTATGGACTCTAATTCAGTACTTACTTTGGACTCTTCAAGAAATAAAGATAAACTCCCTAAGAGCTTTATCCTCATCTTGATTAAGTTTCCTCTTTATTCTAAGACTCTTATCCCTTATCCGTTTATCTCCTATCCCGATATCTTCGGAGATAACCTCAGCATAATGACCAGGACACGCGGCACCTCGGCTGACACATCGGCGTCTCCTTACCACGTGTTGGTACTCAGAAATATATCCCCACAACTGCCCCCTAGGTTCTATTACCTCGGCATTCTGAGGTGATGGAACCTATATCGGTACTTCCTCCTGTATATCGGCTTAAGAACTCCTCAGTCGAGATCATTCATTTCAGGCCGACATGTTCTCTTCAGAGAACAAGAATTCCAGTGAACTCTTTCACGTGTATGAGCTGTCACACATCATTTACTCAACCGTTTCATTCACGCGTCTTTACCTTATTGGACCGTGTTCATGACGCGCTTGCAAGCCGTTTCTCCCTCACGTGCGCCGTCTGACGCATACGTTCTTCTAGGCGTATTGATTACTTTTTGCCGCCGTTTTCATTTTTGACAAAAACTTTTCCCCCTTTCTTTATTTTTCCCCTTTTGCATCTGATTTCTCTTTGTTTTTTCTCTCTCTAAACTCTTTCTTTTGAATCCGCCATTGCTCAAGCTCCAAGCTCTGCAGTTGTCTTCATTTCGTCTTTCTGGTGAAGCTTTCGCTACTCTGTTACTCCTGCAACCATCATCGAACTTCGACAATCTTCATACCGGCTTCACTCTTTTCTGGTAAGCTACTGTTCCTTTTGTTTTCAATTCAAGATCTATAGGTGCCTACTTAGGTTTTGAGAATTGGGTGCAATGTGTAAGTGTAACTTTGGATGGGTAATAGAAACAATGGAGTTTTGTATCATGGGTAAAGGTGTGTTTGGCTATAAAGTTGGGTTGAATGGTTTGATCTCTTGGATATTAAAGTAATACATTAATCTAATATAGTAGGGCTTTTGTGGGTGTATGTAACACGTAAAAATATTAATTTATTTGAGGTATTGTTTATTAGGTTTGTGTGATTGAAGTGGTGAAATTGGGTGTTTGGAGTTGGTGTTGGAGTGTTATTTCTAAGGGTTTGAGGTAAGTAACCCTCTATCACTGTTGGTTCATTTTTATTCCTATCGAATCGTTTAAAGTCATAAATATTTATTTATATCCTTCATGTTCTCTTAAAATAAAATATGGGTCAAGTATAAAACAACATCGAATATTATTATGAAAATTATTTAAATATTTGATGAAACTATTTTGAAAATTGTACTAAACATTTATTCTGAAAATATCGAATGTTTTATTTGAAAGTTGTGTATTGTGTGAATTTTGAACATCACTCTAGTCTGACTATGATTTGGACCCTAGCCAATGGGGGTTATTTATTGGCACAGAAACTAGTTTCTTTTGGAGCTTTACCACCGGCCTATGTATGGTTCTGGGCCTTGTCACGGGCTAAGTGACCGTAGTCACCAAGACTTGGGTTTTGTGAATTGCATCATTGAACCATTTGAATATCGAACCATCAATTTTGAACAACGAAATTTCATCGAATTACCTCATTGTCTTTTCAATTAAAATGTATTGCTACACTGTTTATTTTCAACTACGAAACCATCTTACAAAATAATTGTTCATTTATTGAATGGTAGCAAAAAATATATTTATTGGTTATCGACTATTTTTTTTGTATACTTGATCCAGCTAATAGTGATGGTTGGTTATTTACTGGGCTGTCTAGCTTACCCTTATTTTATTTTTCAGATTCTGAAGAGTAGAGCTGTGCAGGGTTTTTACTTGTGGGAGTGCCGAGAGTAGGACTATGATTTAAGTATTTGGATCATTATTATTATTATTATTTTTATTAGTGGACTTGGTGGACAATTTCATATGATAAGAATTATCTATTTGTATGGTTTTTAGCATTATGATATTTAAGGATTTAATTTGAGTATTTTACATTGTTGGTTATGTGTTGGATTCTTAGCCTTGCATACTCACTTAAATGAGTGTGCTGCGTTGTCACGGAGCTTGGGGTGTGACACCTATATCGGTACTTCCTCCTGTATATCGGCTCAAGAACTCCTTAGCTGAGATCATTTTATAGCCGACATGTTTTCTTCAGCAAACAAGAATTCCAGTGAATTTTTTCACGTGTGTGAGTTGTTACGTATCATTTGCTCAACCGTTTCATTCATGCGTCTCCACCTTATTGGACCGTGTTCATGACGCGCTTGCAAGCCGTCTCTCTCTCACGTGCACCGTCTGACGTATATGTTCTTCTAGGCGTATTGATTACTTTTTGCCGCCGTTTTCATTTTTGACAAAAACTTTTCCCCCTTTCTTTATTTTTCACTTTTGCATTCGATTTCTCTTCGCTTTTTCTCTCTCTAGCTCCTGAATACGCCATTGTTTCAATCCTCAAGCTTTGCAACTGCCTTCCGTTCTCCCTTCCTGTGAAGCTTTCGTCGTTCTTGTTACATCTGGCACTATCGTCTGACTTCGGCAATCTTCACATTGGCTTCATATTTTCTGGTAAGCAATTTGTTTCTTCTTATTCCAGTTTCTTGAGTTTTTCTGGAATTTCTTGTTTATCACTGCCTTGTTCAAACACTTAATTTGTGAATCATACATTTGAATGCGTTGATTTCGCTTTTTGCTTATGCCTTAAATACATGTACTATTCATAGTTTTCTTGTACGTCTTGCCACTGTTCTGGCCTTCAACCCTTTGTATTCTTCATGTTCTTGATAGTCCATCTCTGTTCTTGATTCTGAAACTCCGCTTTTGTTTTCTGTTTTTTGTGTCTTTTCCAGATATGTGCCTTTGGTCTTCATCTCCATAACTTTAGGTTTGGGATTTGTTTGTAGAACCCACATTTTAGGGCAAAACTGAAACATCCCTTACAAATCTCTTCACCAACTAAAACCTAGGTTTTTTGCCGAGGTCCCAATAACCCTATTTAAACCATCTTCTTATTGAAACCCAATACCTTTAGTTATCCCGACATCATGGGTATGTGGGAACATCAGGTAAACACCCCCTCAAAACTGGAATTTTTTAGGCAAGAGTTTGAAATCCCAGCCGATGTCAATTTGAGGTTGGCTGGGGATGATGACTCCATCATGCCTACAGAAAACTCCATGCCCTTCCCTGTGGTTGCCTTTATCGAGTGTGGACTCCGGTTTCCACTTGACCATTTTTTCCGTCAAATCCTTCACTTCTATAGTTGAACCCAATGCAATTTGCCATCAATTCTTACTGAGTTATCACTGGCACCATAGCCTTAGTTAAACAAGAGAATGCCAAAATTACACTTGCCGATTTCTAGTACTGTTACACCATGTGTCGTCTTAGAAAAGACACGGACTATGTCTATTACCTTAAGCCGAGATCCACCGAATATAAAATTGTAGCCGACCTCCCAGACTCCAACAAGGGAGCTGGAGACGATTACTTCATTGTCTCAGGCAATTGGGAGTTTCAGCCAAACGACGACCTCCATCTTTATCCTTTAAGCCGAACTGTTTTAGGAGAAGGAGCTGGTAAGGGCCACCCTTCATAAGTTTCTTTTTATCTTCTTGCATAAATTGTTCAACATTCTTGTTCTAATGTCTGTACTGTTTTTATCTTTGCAGTTCTTCCTCAGCCACTAAAGAATTTTCGCCAATCCTTCTATCCCAGCAAGGATTTGAAAAAACTTCTGAACTTGCCGATTCACAAACGAAAGGCGCCTCTGCTCCTCAACTTTATCCCAACTTATAAGTCAGCCTTGCCCGACATCCCCAAAAGGAAGAAAAAAAGCCTCTCTCTACCTTCTGCCACAACTCCACAGACCGCATCCACATCTTGGACAGATCAGGGGTCAACTTCTGATCCAGCCGAGCAACCGTCTACTTCAGCTCCATACTTGGTTTCAATTTCGCAGCGCCGCCGCCGATGCCGAACAGTTCCTACTGCCGAGATGGGTCGCGCAAAACCAGTTGCAAAAGACCTTCTGGCCAGCATTCCTTCATCCGTAGACAATCAACCAGCACAAACCCTTCTCCCACCGAAGCCGAAAAGAGTAAAAAAAGCTCAGCCAAAAGCTAAAGTTACTCAAGTTGAGTCTGATGATGCTCTGCCAATCTCCAAGTTGGTTGAGAGTAACAAGTCTCAACCTTCTGTTGGGAAGAGGCGCTCTGAAGCCAAACCATCATAATCCCCAAAATCCAAAAAGCCGAAGTCATCCTCCGCTACAACCTCGGGGTCTAAGAAGCCCGCTGCCCCCTAGGCACCCGAAATTACTTTAGAGGATAAGCCATTCATGGCGAACGATAGTGCCGAGGATATTAATATCGGCGTTGCGCTTAACACTGCTCTGCTGCTACCAGGCGACTTGGAGCGAAACGCTGAGTTGAGCGAATATGAAAATTATGCGTTGATGCTTCAACGCTCCGTTCAAGTAAGTGTCTTTTATCTGGTACTTTTTTCTTTTCTTTTTCATACTTAGAAATTTTGGTAATAACTTTTACCCTGTGTTTTCTTCAGGCCATTCAACATGCCCACTCTTTTTCTGTTCAGTCTTTTGAAAATCGGCAGAAGCTGGTTGAGACGAAGAAGGAGTTCTCTTCCCTCCAGAAGACCAACAAAGGTTTTCAATTAAAGATGAAAAAATTGGAGGACCAAGCTGAGGCTGCAATCAAGGCTCAGACCAATGCTGAAGAGAAGGCTGAGGCTGC